TGAGGCCGGTTCCCCCCTCCCTCACCCCCCCACTTCCGCCTTTTCCCACCTCTAACAGCGCAGCGGCGTTGCCATGGCGACGACGGCGCACCCCTATTGGCCGCGATCGCTGCCGTTGCCGGGTTACGTGGCCAGCGAGCGTCCCGGCTGGCAGTGCGCGGGCGCGGTAGCGGCGGCCGGGGCGGGGTTACTGGCGCTGGGTTGGGCGCTGGGCGGGGCGAGAGGAGGGGCAACGAGAAGCCCCGCCCGCCGCCTGGCGCTGGGCTGGTTCCTGATGTGCGCGGGGGTGCATGGGATTCTGGAGGGCTATTTCAGCCTGCGGCACCGGGAGCTGCCCGCCGACACCGGTTTGCTGGCCGACGTCTGTGAGCACCGGGGCGGGGACGCTCGGGGTCCTTGGGGGAGGGTATAAGGGTGGTCTGGGGAGGGGCTGGGTCTCCTAAGGGGGGGTCTGGGTGCCCTGGGGAGGGTCCTGGCCCCCTGGGTGCCTTTGGGGAGGGGTCCCCTGGGGCATCAGTGCGCCCTGAAGGGAAAAGGGGGTTCCCTGGACTCCTGGGGAGGGGGACACGTGGGTGCCAGAGGGCTGTGGGGCAGGGTGGGAGTCCCCTGGGTGTCTGGGTCCTCTGGGGGGGGGTGTGGAGGGGGACCTGCCCACCCCGGATGCCTGGGTCACCCTGTCAACCCCACGCTGCCCGCAGGGAAGGAGTACGCCAAAGCTGACAGCCGCTACATGACGTGAGTTGGGGAGGCCGACGGGGAGGGAGGGGTGTCTGAGGGACCCGGGCGTCCGGGCTGATCCTGCTCTGCGTGTGTGTCCCCTTTCCAGGAGCGATGACTTCACGGTCGCCATGGAGACAGTGACGGCCTGGGCCTGGGGTCCCCTCAGCTTCCTCACCTTCCTCGCCTTCCTGCGCCGCCACCCCACCCGCTACGTCCTGCAGCTCCTCGTCTCCCTCGGTACGCCTGGGGACCCCCGCACACCCAGGGCGGAGGGGTAAGGGGAGGCCGCCCGCATCCCCGGAACCTCCCGGCTCTCCCCGACGGCATCTCCCTTCCTGCACACAGGTCAGCTCTACGGGGACGTGCTGTACTTCGCCACTGAGGCTCGGGCGGGCTGGACCCACAGCGACCCGCGGCCCCTCTACTTTTGGGGCTACTTCGTGGGGCTGAACGGGGTGTGGGTGCTGGTGCCCGGCGCCCTCCTCATCGACGCCTGCCGCAACCTGGCTGCCGCCCAGCGCGCCCTCGACCGTCCTCGCCACAAGGGCCACTGAGCCGGGACGCTAGCCGGGAGACGCCCCCCCACCGCCGAGGGGCTGCTCGGGGCGAATTCGGCACTGGGGAGTCCTGGAGTATTCCGGAGATGGATCGGGCGCGTGCCTGCGTCCCATCGGGGTGATTCTGGTGCTGGGGTTGTTTTCTCCCCCCCCCTCCAGCTCCGCAAGAGCTCAGGGACAGCGGCCTGAATGCCTGGGACCCCCTGGGAGGGGGGGCTTCACCCTCATTAGCGGGGTTGTGTGATTGGGTTTTAATAAATGAGCTGGAAATGGAGCCGTGGGTCTGTGCTGGGAGAGGGAGGGGGACTGGGGATGGGGAAGGGGGTGTGGTCTGCGGGTGATTGACAGCAGCCGGGAGGGCGGGCTGAAGGGAGAGGGCGTGGCAAGTCGGCCCGGCCTCCGCCGTTCCTCGGCCAATGGGAAATTAGGTCGCCTGCCGTGGCCAATGGGAGGGCGGGGTGGGCGGGGTTAGGCTCGGGCCAATCGGCGCTAGGCGTTTTCTCGCTGCTCCCGGCGCGTTGAAGCTGGATGGGGCGCCGGTGGCGCGGCGGCCAATCAGCGGCCGCTCTCTCCTTAAGTCCCGCCTTCCCCAGAACGCCCAATCAGCCTCCGCTCCCTCGGCGGCCCGGGCGCACCGCCCAATCAGCGCCCTCTCCTTCACTA